AAGATAGATAGACACATGCTGTTACCAGAACAGTCTGAATGTGAACTAGTCGCCTTTTGCGATGCAAGTTCTCGCGGTTACGCTAGTTGTGTATATGTGATCAGTCGTAACGACAGAGGTCAGACTAAAGTACGCTTGGTGATAGCAAAATCTAAAGTAGCCCCCGTCAAACCCTTAACTATCCCGAGGTTGGAATTGATGGCGTCAGTTTTGTTAAGCAGATTAATTAAATATGTCCGTGACATTTTAACTCGTGTAAAAATTAATCGTACTCGTATCACTGCGTTAACCGATTCGACTATCGTATTGGCGTGGCTTCAGACAGAAGCTTACAAATTAAAGCCGTTTGTTAGTAACCGTGTTACTCAGATATGCGAAGTGTTACCTCCGCACTTTTGGCGTCACGTTAGTAGTGAGTGCAATATGGCAGACATCTGCTCGCGCGGAGCGTCTCCGTCACAGCTCTTGGAGTGCAAAGAGCAGTGGCTAAGGGGCCCATCTTGGTTGTATGATGACTACTCGCAGTGGCCAGTTAGAACATTTATCAACCAAGATGAAAGTAATACACCCGAAATAAAATCAAATTCTTCATTGGGTTCCGTCAATTTAATCACCGATGAAAATAATTTAATGGAAGAATCTAAGTTAGAGTTCTGTGACCGATTTTTTCCCATTTCTCTTCTTATTATAAACTGCAACGTACGTTTGCTCGAATATTGAGATGGTTTCGATTTAAATCCGGTCACTCAAAGCAATCCATACTGACTAACGAATTGAATACCGCTCAAGACGTCTTAATTAAACTAGTACAGAGTTCATACTTTGCAAATGAAATAAATAATTTGTCAAAGGGCACAAAGTACGTTCCGTCGTTGAGAAAATTATCTCCGTTTATTGACGATCGCGGATACCTCAGGGTGGGGGGTCGAATAAATTATTCAGTTTTACCTTATAACGCGAAACATTCCCGTTTATTACCTAAAAATAGTAGATTTACACTATTACTTATTGAATATTTACATAAAAAATATTTACACGTAGGCCCACGCACCTTACAAAACATTATTAATCAAAACTTTTGGATTTTAGCATCCCGTCGCATTATCCGGTCAGTTTTGTCCAAATGCAAAACTTGTTTTAAACACAACCCCGTGCTCGTGCACGTGCACAACCTGCGTGCTGAGATGGCACCTTTGCCAGCAGCTCGATTGATACCTAATAAGGTTTTTGAGCATGTAGGGGTAGACCTCGGTGGTCCGTTCTTTACAAAAGAAAGTTTACGACGAAACGCTAGGATTGAACGGTCATATTTAGCATTATTTATTTGTTACTCGACAAAAGCTGTACACCTCGAGGTCTTATCGTCGTTGTCATCGGAGTGTTTCCTCGCGTGTTTAGACAGATTTGTAGCGCAACGAGGTGTATGCTCTTTTCTTTACTCGGATTGCGATACTAATTTTATCGCAGCTAGTAAGCATTTAACCGAAATACAAAGGTTTATGTTCGAGCAAAAAAACAATATATTAGAGGGTTGCTCAAAGCGACAAATTATATGGAAATTTAATCCCCCCAGCGCACCACACATGGGTGGGCTCTGGGAAGCCGGAATTAAATCCGTCAAGTACCTCTTAGCGCGAGCCGTCGGAGAAAAAGGTTTGACGTTCCAGGAACTCACCACAGTGTTTTGTAAAGTAGAAGCAATTCTCAACTCGCGGCCGCTCTGTCCGTTACCAGCTAGTGATAACCCGGATGAATTTAACGTACTGACAGCGGGACACTTTCTAATAGGAAAAGCGTTAACGGCGGTACCTGAGTATAATGTAGAAGACATAACGATGAATCGATTGTCACGTTGGCAATATATTCAAAAATGTTCACAAATGTTTTGGCGTAGATGGAGTCGTGAATATTTAAATACGCTGCAACAGAAAGCAAAGTGGTATTCGGATAGATCTAACATTAAAATAGGTGATCTTGTAATTATAAAAACTGATAACATACCGCCGTGCAATTGGCCTTTGGGTAGAATAGAGGCTCTTCACCCCGGCCCAGATGGGATTGTTCGTTGTGTTACGCTTCGTACCCAAAAGAGTACTTTACAGAGACCAGTTAATAAACTGAGTCCTCTCCCTTATGCAAATTAGCTTACTTGTATTAATAACCTTCTCGTTGAGACCATTCTGTGTCTCAGCGTTATCTTGATAGAGATTAAGTTATTATTTTATCTTATCTTTTGGAGAAACCATCAAGATGGTTTCGGTGGGGGGTGTGTTCAGTAATAAACCGTAATTCGCAAATTTTATACCGAGACACAATGATCTACAACGATCTGAGGGCCGGTGATAACCTGTGGCAACTTTGTGACGCATAACGCGCTGCTATAATCTGTGCGGACTAAAAAGGAATAAAAGTGGAGGGTAGGAAGCGTAAGAAGCTTATATCTCTTTGTGTTATCGTGGAGTGAATATCTCTTCAAAAACTAAAAATAAGGACTACTCTAGAGTGTACCATGTACAATCTAATTACTAGTGTATTCTACCGTGTAGAAGAAGCCACCAGGAGCTGTAAACGTTTTGCCAATCTTGGGAAGCTGGCTAGTAAGACCGTGAGTAGTTTTATTGTTTTCTTGGTGTAATTTTGTGACTGCGGTAACTGAACGTTTCAGGGGATATTGAATATCAATACAGTCCACTATATAATTTAAAAATAATCCCAAGCCGCCACAATACCAAATGCGAGACCAATATCTAATAATGGAGTGCCAATACCATTTACGTTTGTTGGAGATGAAGGCTTTGCATTATCTCAACATTTACAGAGACCTTACGCTGGAAAAATCTTGCCACGAGAAAAAAGAATATATAATTACCGCTTGACACGTGCCAGACGATACATTGAATGTACATTTGGTATATTAAGCAACAAATTTAAAATCTTTAATCGACCACTGAACGTTAGCGTGGACTTCAGTGTGGCTATTGTGAAAGCCTGTTGTGTACTGCATAATTTCATACGTGAACGTGACGGTTATAATTTTCATAATTCTTTGAGTATAGCTGGTTTAGGAGATCCTCCTGAAGATGCAAGTTTGATTTCGATTGGTGCAAGATGGTCACAGGGACAATTAAGCGGAACTACGATACGAAATATGTACACTGATTATTTTATTAGCGATGAAGGTGCAGTACCATGGCAAGATTCTAAAATTTTGGGTACCTACCTAATTACATGTTCTACTGTTTTACTGTTCTATGTACCGCCGCACGGTGGGCCGAATCTCAAAAAACCGGCCAGGAGCGTGTCGGGCCACGCTCAGTGTAGGGTTCCGTAGTTTCCCGTCCGTCACAATAAGTGTTCCCACTTATGTGTTTAAAGGTGGGTATCTATTATGTTCGCGCTCCAGCAGCGCTCCGCGCTCCTGCAACTGCTCCCGGTAGTGGGTACGTGCGCGAACATGGAGCGTGCAACATTGCACTCGACTTTCCATCCAAGTTCAAAATGATTTTCCTAGAAAGTCCATATAAAGTTCTACTTTTCACATTTTTTTCATATTTTCTAAACTTATGGTTCAAAAGTTAGAGGGGGGGGACACATTGTTTTTTACTTTTGGAGCGATTATTTCCGAAATTATTGACAATATCTAAAAATGATCTTAGTAAACCCCTATTCATTTTTAAATACCTTTCCAACAATATATCACACGTTAGGGTTGAAATTAAAAAAAAATCACTTCCCACTTTACATATAGGGGGGGCTACCCTAATAAAACATTTTTTTCCAGTTTTTATTTTACCACTTTGTCGGCGTGATTGATACACATATTGGTACCAAATTTCAGCTTTCTAGTGCTAACGGTCACAGAGATTAAGCGAGGACGGACAGACGGACAGACAGACATGGCGAAACTATAAGGGTTCCTAGTTGACTACGGAACCCTAAAAAGGAACTTACGATTTTTTTTTTCGAAACGTCAATTTTTTGTTCAGCCAATCGACAGAAGCCGTCAATATAATCAACATTTATGAATTGTAATTTTTTCTAAAAACGAATATTTAATGAGATATGATGACAAATTTTTAATTCATAAGTTCCTTTTTTTCAGATTCGGCCCAACGTGCGCCGTGAAGATAGCCACCCCATGTCGCGTGCCCATGTTTTAGGGTGCTAAATCGTTAGTTCCAATAAGTAAAAAAATCGTAAGAAGGAAAGCGGAACAAACGAAAATTACACCAGAACTTATCACAACTAACGATTTAACACCATAAAACGTGGGCACGCGACATGAGGTGGCTATCTTTACGGCGATGTTTTATGTGTAGTCCTAAAACAAATACATTATTTTTAAATAAATATAATAAATCTTACCTGCCAGGTTTTTTTCCTTACTGGGTTTTTCATTGAAATTGTTATAAAAAATTTGGCACAATTCATCCCAAGCATTTCTTTATAACACTTTGTTTGAATATTCGGGCAGTAGTGAATTCCATGAAGTGGGACGATTGTTTATTTCTGTTATGAAGCGGTCGGTGTCGAAGGGTTCCATTTTAAACCAAATACACGCGAAGCACACACCGAAGACGCGCGTTCCTGAAACGAGCGTCTCCTGCGCATTTTAAATACGCCGTGTGCTATGGGCCTAAGCTACAGCATGTTTCATCATTTGAGGTTAATAAAAAGGTAAAACATGATGGTAACTTATGGGTATGTTCCGAAATGTTTCCAGTATACTGACGAATGCAAATGACGTCATCAATTGACGGCATATTCCACCATATTCGCTTTATCGAATCACCAGAATGACGTCGATTTATGACGTCATTTGCATTGGCCAGTGTACTGTGTTGTATTTCGGAACATACCCTATATTCAAGTGAATACTACACATTTAATTAAACTTCATAAAAAACTTCTCCGTAACGGTGAAAACATTTTTACAGTTAATAACACCATTTCTTCACAATATTACTTCATATAAAATTTATTTATTTAACTGTTTTTAGAAATTCGTCTGCTCGATATGTGGCTTCGCAAATTCTTCGATCGCTAATTTACAAGCACATGAAAGGCGACATTCGCAAAGCTATTCATTCCATTGTGAAGAATGTGGGAAAGGGTTCTACAGGAAGACTGATCTAACTACGCATTTGCGGTAATTTTTATATTTTCTGTGTGTGTGTGTGTGTGTGTTTGTGTGTGTGTGTGTGTGTGTGTGCGTGTGCGTGTGCGTGTGCGTGTGTGCGTGTGTGCGTGTGTGCGTGTGTGCGTGTGTGCGTGTGTGCGTGTGGGCGTGTGTGCGTGTGTGTGTGTGTTGGTGAGTGGATTTTGTTCAGGCGAAAGTTAAAATTTCACCATTTTTTATTAGAGTGACGGGTTTGTAACCGACCTTGCTTGATTCTAACAGCAGCCCATGAATGCCCAGAAACAAGATGGAATACCTCAGAATAAGTTACTATTCTGCAGTTTTCTTATTGGTCATTTTAAAAACAATGTTAGTTTTTATATTTCAAAAGGTTTTTAAGGGTGACAAACGAGAATGTAGTCCACTTAATGGTAAGTTGACGCTGTGGCCCATATACATTTAAATTATTCCCCGATCAAAAATCAAAATCCAGATGCATGTCACCCCTGAGAACTAAGATGAAATGCCTCGTTTCCAGTAAAATGGGTCTCCAGTTCTTTACATTCGCCATACGAAAAACAGCCGTATTAAGCTGTGACTTCACTCTGGTATTTTGTGAGAACATGGTAATTCCCCGGTCGAGCCGACCGATTCGTGTTAAAACCACAATATAGCTGCGGCAGGGCTCTACCGCGAGAAAGGTTGTGAATTATCTTAAAAAGCACTTTTCAGCAAGCATACCCTACCATAGTATTTGTCATAATCATTGCAATCGACATTTTTGGCTATAATTGAGTAACTAATTTTATCAGATATTAACTAGGTATAATATATTAACCTTTTGAGCGCCACGCGACTAACGCGTTCCCGTGTCCAAAGCAAAGTAAACAAAAATACCTACGAAAGAAATAGTGTTGCCAAGAGTTGATACATCGGTAACATACAGTGACTTGTTTTTGTTGGTTTTTATGCAATAAATGACTTACTTGGGAGGTCTGAAAAGTTTCCGACCTAACTAGACATTATTATTATTATTATTATATAATTGTCCACGAAGGCTTCGAGCGCAAATTTTAAATGATAACAAAAAGAAGTCGTTTGGGGCTATATCTAGTGACTAAGGCAGATGGTCAAGCAATTCAAACCGTATTTCGTGGATTTTCGCCATGGCAACCGCTGAGGTGTGAGACGGCGCGTTGTCATGGTGAAACAGGATTTTCTTTTTCTGCAAATGAGGCCGTTTTTCCGCAATTTTAGCCAGTCAGTTTGGCAAGTTATGATACGTAGTATGCTCCTGTAATCGATTAAGATAACTACATGACTATGCCAAAAAAGAGTCGCCATCACTTTCCCAGCCGAAAAAAATATTTTTGCTTTTTTGGAGCCGGTTCCCCCTTTGCAGTCTACTGTTATGACTGTATTATTATTTCGGGCGTACGAGTATAATGAGTATCCAAGTTTTATTTACAGTAATTAATCGGTGCCAAAACTCGGATTTATTGCGCCTAAACTGCGCAACATAGCGTTGGAAATGTTCACTCGAACACGTTTTGGTTTAACGTCAGCTAACGCGGCACCCAACGCGCTGACATTTTTCTCATGCCCAAATCTTGATTTAATGTGAGACAAACACGTCTCTCTCATCTTTGGACATTTTCACAGCCTCTGTTATCTCTCTCACTTTAATTCAGCGGTTGTCTAGCACCATTTGGTGATTTTTAGCCATGTCACCGTCAGTAATTGCAGTTTTTGGACGTCCCGAACGTCCATTATCTCCTAAGCTTTCATGGCCACGCTTAAATTCATCTGTCCAAAATTTCAACGTGGTAATTGATGGTGCAGAGTCCCCATACATAGAGTCAAACTCATCTTTGATTTGCGTAGGAGTATTGTCTTTCAAATAATATAAATGATACTCAATTTTTTCCTTTTTCACAAAAACACTCACATCGACTCGTTCGAACGATTGTCAAATAACAACTACACGTCCAAAATGGCTGAAATTTTAGTGCGTAACTGTCAAAACATACACAACTTCACTTTTTCACTTCACATTCACTAACTTCCATTGACGAGTGCTGCCATCTCCACGTTGAGGTCGGAAACTTTTCAGACCACCCTGGTATAATCTGGGATATTTTATTTAAGCTTGTGCTGTTTCCCACTCTTTTATATATGTCTTAGTACATAAATAAAAAACAAAAATTACAAATAAAATAGTAGTAAACCACAGCACTACTCTCCATCGTGATGATGTCACTGTTTCGACTGGACTACAACTCCTTTTTGAAACTTCCTTAGAGATGTAGTAGCCATGTCGCAAGATGTGCATCGATTTCGAAATTTTATGAAACTATATATTTTTCGGGGCTTCTACGGTTAAACGTCGACACAATTTTAACGTGGTTTCGCATAGATCTCGACGAGATATGCCGAACAAAAGCAAAAAAATTTTTCAATATCTCGCTTATTTTTCGAATTATCGATACTCAAAAGTCGAATACTTAAACTGAATTAGCATGCCCCGACTCCAAGTAGTCTTATCTGCCATACCCCTAGTGTTTTTGTGCCTTAAGCGCGGAGGGAGAGCAGCCCCAGCCCGCTGTAGCAAATAGCAGACACCTGTACGAGCCGTAGCGGCCAAGGCTGCACCAATAAGTCAAAGCTGCGGAGGTGATGGGTGCCTGTGATTTGCTATGCAATGGCAAGGGGACTGCACTCCCGCAGCGCAGAAGCCGTTGCAGAAGTAACTTTGGGTCAATATTCCTGTGTAAAAAAGTAGGGTTATAAATATGATTTTACAAAAAAAAAATCATTACTCATGAACTATAATTTTCCGCAAGGGGGGAAGGGTAGGGGCTTTTCTTGAACCCACCCTCTCACCCCACTCCCGTACGCAAGTACTGGATGTCTATAGTTTCACATTCCAAAAATATACCGAATACCGTTAATAAAGTTTTCCGATTTTTGAGTATTGATATCTCGGAAACTAAGCGAGATATCGAAAACAATTATTCTTACTTTTCGGCGTATCTCGATCTATGCGAATTTAAATCGTAAGAATCGTAGTTTTTTTTGCGCCCGAAGCAAATATGGGCAACCCTCCGGAAAGCGGGGGAGGGAGGCGGTGAATGCTCATAGCATACCACGCAGCCGGCTGCGTGGTTATGTGGAGACTTTTACCCACTAAACACGGCCTTTATGGATTGGCTTACCGATCTGACGAGAGATCTCTAATCCGTATACGGACGCGACCCTTGGCTGAAAGGAGGACGCAAGTGGCGAAAAGCCGCTTAGAAGAATGCCTAACTAAGGCAGATTAAGGGATGTGTTAAGTAGGCTCGGCCTGAGCCGCCAGTACGCAGTTCAGGTCAGCCGAAAGCTTGTTGGGGGGGTCCGAGAGAGAGTTTCTCGGTCTGCGCACACTATAGCGAGTGTGGAGAGGGGCTGCATGGGCAGCTGTCTCACGAATGAGATGATTTGGGTGGGACTCTGAGGCTTTGAAAAATCTCTCAGAGAGTGATTTAAGGAACTGTTGGATTGTTGGGAGCTCTAAGTCTCGGTGTAGGTCGGCATTACGGACATAATAGGGCGAGTTAGTGGCCCTACGACAGAATAGATTTTGAACTATTTGAAGTTCATTTATAACTTTGGGCTTAGCATGTGCGAAAATGGAGGCCGCGTAGGTCATGACAGGTCGTATGCAGACCTTATATAGAGTTCGCTTGTTGCGTAGGAACATTTTACTATGTCTGCCCAACATACTGTTGAGCCTAGCCTACCCGTGTAAAATCGCGCGGTGCTAGTTACCTTCTTGATATGGGGCTCGAACGTGAGCCTTGCATCAAGGGTGACGCCTAAATATTTGGCTTCTGTTTGCCATAGGACAGGAGTTCCTAACATCCTGATTGACGGAGTGGCAGTGAAGAACCGTAGTCGTGCCTTTTTTCCTTTATACTTTATTGAAACAGTCACTAAAAATATACCACTACCTCATTATCTTCCCGTGGGTGTCGTAAAAGGCGACAGAGGGAAACAGGCAGGAGATGGGCGGCAGCATCTTCCTCATTTTTCAAGTTATTATAGAAGCAACAGTTCAAAAAGTTAAAGCAGAGTCACAAAATAAGAAGACAAACAAAAAATCACAAAATTACGCACACTAAGCTCTCGAAACAGAAACAGAAACTTTTTTATTCAATATATATTATGAATAATACTTATTGAGAGTCACTTTTTTCATTTACCACAGGTTCGCAAAAAGAACCTCTGTCCTGGGAAGAACCAGCAAGAAACCCAACGGGACTAGTTTTTTTTTTTTAAATAAGAGCTTACAATCATGCGTATTACAAAATAAATTAGAAATAGCTTGGTAGCGATCACCCTTCCCAGGAGTTATTATCGTACATAAATTCCTTAATATTAAAATAACCCTTTTTATAAGATATAAGATATATTTATTTGCAAAAACATGTGTAGATCATAATACATTTGATGTTTATTATTGGTCTTAAAGTTATAATTTTGAATCAAAATGTTTGACCATAGTTGGTGTACAAAATAGAAAATAAAGATAGCTGTAACAGATAATTAATGAGTTATGACAAAAGGTATAATATCTACTAAATAATTTATCAGAACATGAAGTAATTGAATGTAATAAATGTCAATTATATTTCCTATCAAAAATAATTATACAATGGCATTAATAATACAATGATATTAACAATGTATATAATAAAGTAGTAAATAGTAATTAAATAGGTTTGTTACATTCATGATTCAAGATTTGTCGTTAAGGAAGTCATTAACATTATAATAGCATTTTGCAGTCAATATTTTTTAATGTTTTCTTAAATAATCCTGTATTCAATTGTTTAATGTCGTTTGGAATTTTGTTATATATTAATGGAGCTTTGCATACTACACTTATACGTAGTAGCTCTGTTTTAGCAGGGTGAGCACATAGTCTATTGTTGTCTCGGCGATTACGTCTTACATTGTCTGATAGGCGAGGAAACAAGTGTGGGTTGCTTCTAACGAATAAAGCTATTTCCAATATATATAGTGATGGAAGTGTGAGAATTTTGTGTTTGATAAATAATGGCTTACAACTCTCCGTACTTTGAATACCAAACATGGCCCGTATGCATCGCTTTTGCATTTTAAATACCATATCTGTGTTAGTTGAGTTGGCCCAAAAAATGATGCCATATCTGAGAACAGATTCAACAAGACCATAGTATGCCGAAAAAAGCGTATCTGTGTTGATAGTTGGAACTAGTTTATGAAGGGCGTATGAAAGATTGCTGATTTTTTTACATAATACGTTGTGTTCTTTCCAATTTAATTTGCTGTCTATAATTAAGCCAAGAAAGCGGGTAGAAGTAACTTCACTTATCGTGTAATTATCATAAACCAAATTTATATTTAATGGATTTTGTGATCTTTGTCCAAAGTGCATTATATTTGTCTTCGTTAAATTGATTTTTAAATTATTATTGTTTAGCCATGAAATTCTAGATGTCAATGCGTTTTTGATGTCAAATTTATAATGATTAATGTCCTTACATGCAATTGTAACAGTACTGTCATCAGCAAATAATGTAATAGGCTGTGTCATTGCATTTGGCAAGTCGTTAACATATATAATAAATAAGAGTGGCCCCAGTACACTGCCTTGGGGCACGCCATATGATATATAGCGCTTCTTGGAAGTGTATATTTCTTCATTTTTGGTTTCAAGATTCACTCTAGTTATTTCTGTTATTTGTTGTCGATTATTTAAGTAGGAACGAATTAAATCTAAGACATTTCCTCTAATACCGTAAGCGTCAAGTTTATTAATAAGTATATTATGGTCTACATAGTCAAATGCCTGTGACATATCGCAGTAAATAGCACAAATGGGAAATCTTTTGTCAACATGGCATATAATATTTTCAATGAATTCATAAATGGCCATATTTATGGTCTTATTTTGCCGGAACCCTTTTTGTTCATTGCACAAGATTTTGTGTTTTTCGAGATAGGAATTAATTTCACCATAAAGATATTTTTCAAAAATTTTCGAGAATATTGATAATAATGCTATAGGTCTATAATTTTCCATTAACTGTTTATTTCCTTTTTTGAATAGTGGTTTTATAATTGATAATTTAAGATCTTTTTGAAATATTCCTGTTGATATACATAAGTTAATGATGTGACTCAAATGGTGGCATATATCCTTACTTACTGCTTTAATTATTTTTGTGGAAATACCACCGTATCACACTGTTCGTGTTTTTCAATGTTTTTATAATCTTATTTATTTGGTATGGTGAACTTGGTGCAAGAAACATTGAATTTAATTACTGTTTAATTGTAGTATTTACTTTTTTCCCGGCATCCGGAAGGGGATTAACTTTTTCAATAAAATAATTATTAAACGCGTTAGCTATTTTTTTAGGATTATCTATGCAAATTCGATCATTAATTTTTATGTTGACAATAGTTTCTTTAGGTATATTGAGTCTTGTTTTGTTTATAATTTGCCACGCTGTTTTACTTTTATTACTTGAGATTTTTATTTTATAATTATTTTGTGCACGTTTCGTTAAGGTTATAATTTTTTTAAATAATTTACTATATTTTACATATTTTAATTTGTTCTCTTTAGTTGAATTCAATCTGAATTTCCAAAGCAACTCTTTTTTTCTTTCTACTGCAAACCTTGACTCCATGGGATACCCATTTTGGTTTACTATTGACTTATCAAAACTTGTATTTGGGGAAAACAAAGATCATAAAAAAGTTTAAAATCATCAATAAAATATTGGTAGGCTATGTTTGGGTCATTAGCATGGTAAATATTCAAAAAAGATAAACTTTTAATACACATTTTAAATTTTAATAAGAATTATTTTAACTCGAAAACAAAATGTTCATGTTGCACTGTACTACTCTTGCCGCTATTCACTTACGGCGTCATCAGGGTGTCGTCTGTCCTTGACCACGGCGCCCAGTAAACATAATCGATGACGCGCTAAGCATGCACAGATTTATTATGCGAAGTTGATTTGATGATTTTTTATTCCTGTAGTTGATGATAGTTTTATGTTTCTTACTCTTTGTTTTATTCAAATATCAATGATAATTGAAAAAAAAAAATATGTGAGTTAAATTTTGAATAGTTTTCCAGAAATGTATTCCTCCTGCATTACCACACTAGTGATCAACTATAGAAGAATTTGGCGTGCTTTACGTAGTATTTGCTTGGATAAAAATACATGTTTTTAGTTCAATATTTCTCTGTACTTATGGCTCTAAGAGATTTGTTTTTTATACTCACATGTTGCTGGGATATTCTATATTGAGGAATGTAGAATTAAAATACCAGTAACAATTTATATAATTTCATATTTTCGTGGGCCGTGTTTTTTGTCGACAATAGATGTCGTTGGCGCATAGGACCCGCAAGTGCTAGTCAAGTATAGGTGACTTAGGCGCTCAAATTTTAATAAAATATCGCATTCATGTAATTATAGTTCTTTACTACCAAAAAAAAAACTTGAATATTTCCTGTAGGATAAAGGAGAAGGTTTTGGGGGTAAAGATACTCACTTAATACAGTACTAATAGGAGACTAGCCATAAATATACACATATCACAATTTAACCTTTAGACGCCACTCGTTTTATGAGTAATCACTCAACAAACTTGTCAATCCGATGAAAACCTACAATCACTGTGATAGAGTCCCTGTAAAACCAAGAAAATCTGCTCAAACTATAATTAGTTAAATGACACCCGCTTAGGGCATAAAACCAGTGACTTACCTTTGAACTCAATGAACTCGCCTTCCTTGGATAACGTTTTTCCGGCAATTTATATATTTCTTAGCATAGGGTAATTAATCTTGTCAGAAAACATATACATGGTAGAACCATGCTGTAGCTATATTATTAGTATAGTTGTAATACGAATGGGTCGGCTTAACCGGGGAAGGATCATGCTCTCACAGAATACCAGCGTAAAATAGCAGCTTAACGCTGCTGTGTTTCGTACGGTGAGTATAGAAAATTGGAGACACTCTTTACTGGAAAAGAGGCATTCCATCTCAGTCCTCACGGGTGACTACGCATCTGCATTTTGACTCGAGATCGAGCATTGATGTAGATGTCTATGGGCTGCAGCAACTAGTTACCATCGGGTAGACTGTGTGCTCATTTGTCACCCTTACCTTATCCTATAAGAAAAAACAAAGAAAAATATATATTCAGACTATACCTTTTTTCTAACAATTATAAGGCCCGCTATTTATCGTAGTTCCGTGTAGAAACACTATATAGTGCTAGTTTCCTCTTAAGGAAATTAAAAGCCATTGAGATATCTCACGAAGGGAAACAGTCAAATTTGAAAATGATCGTGGAGAAAGGCATAAAGAATCGCACCAACTCGATCGTTTATAATTTTTATATTAACATTTTTTCTTCCTTAAAAATTAGATTTAATTTAAAATTAATTAGTTACGTAGCGTTCTATTATATGTATCCTCAAGGTGTTAGGCTGAATGTTCAATGTGCCTCGTTCAATGTGCCTTGCTCATTGTATGTCCATGGAGTACATTTTGAACTTAACAAAGGTATTTAATTAGGTTATCTAACTACTAAATACCAATGTCGTGTGGGCACAGAAATAGTAATAATAAGACAATAGAAATGAATTAGCGTTTGATTACTTCCAAAACCGATGTCCCCACATCTTAACACATACGAATTAAGCGACCGATGCCTACAGCCGTATTATAAAAATGTATTATTGTTTAAATAATAGTTAGAAGTAGTTTTTGATAGGTAAAATTGGTGTGATTTTCTTGTACTAAATGTATGCGCATGTGATCTATTTATAGAAAAATGATAGCTTTGATATTTCTTTTTGCAGGCATCACACCGGTGAGAAACCATTTCAATGTAAATATTGCTCGCATCGTTTTGCGAGACGGGATGTCCTCAGTGCACATATGAAATCTCATACCGGTATGAATATAATTTTTTTTTTTATAGAATAGGGTGACAAACGAGCACGCAGTCCACCTGATGGTAAGTGGTTGCTGCGGCCCAGAGACATCTACATTACATCTATCCTCCATTAAAAATCAAAATGCAGATGCGTTGTCACCCGTGAGGACTGAGATGGAATGCCTCACACTTATTTAATATAGACTAGTGTTCGCCATATCTACGATTTTAGAGGTGCTTGGTCCGAAGGTTCTTAGTTGGAACAGAAGAGGTCACTACGATATTGCCTACAGACCACATAACAGTGGAAGAGCCACGCGGCAGCTTTACTGTTGCACGTATGGGCCGGCTCAAACCGGGGTAGTACCACGACCTCACAGAATATCGGCGTGAAGTGGAAGGTCTGCTTCCGCGTTTCGTCTGGTGAGTGCAGGTGGCCGGAGGCCCAAATCCCCCCCCCCCATCAACATGGTAGCGGAATTACATGATAATAGACTACCCCAGGAGGGTACCAGCACCCCTGGAGAATCCCTCGCTGAGTATCCTCGACCATGTTTTTCCACTCCTGAGCGTGGGTGCTCAGGCTGCCCCGCGTATTCTGGGGGGGGGGGGGGCAAAATTCCGCTCAAGACTAAAACTGCTCGGGGCAAACGGAGCAACAAGACCAAGGCGACCCTTGCCACGCTATCCGTGAATTTCTGGAATAACAGCGGACTTCACACTAACCTAAACGCCATCCACTACCATCTCGAGACGGCGAGGCCGGCTCTGCTCTTTCTGACCGAGATGCAGGTGTCCTCTCCGGCTGATGTCTCGTATCTCTCCTACCCGGGCTACAAACTGGAACACTCCTTTGTGCCTCGGGCTGGAGTTTGCGTTTACGTCAGAGAGGACAACTGTTATCGACGCCTCGGCAGTCTTGAAGGTTCGGACCTGTCCATCCTTTGGCTACGCGTAGACAGCGATGACCATCCGCGCGTCTACGGGTGCCTCTATAGGTCCAATAGCGGTAATGCCGAAACAGACCGACTCTTCGACCACGTCCAAATGGCTACAGATTCGTTGCTACAGCAGATCCCCTCCGCAGAGATCGTGATCCTCGGCGACTTTAACGCCCATAACGCCGAATGGCTTGTTTCACGTTTAACCGATCATGCGGGGAGCTCTGTTCATGATTTTGCCTTGGCATATGATCTGACACAACTGGTTACCTCGCCTACGAGGATTCCAAATGTGGAGGATCATGCACCTTCCCTGTTGGACCTTCTGCTGACCTCTCACCCGGACGGATATCAGATTTCCGTCGACACCCCTTTAGGCTCCTCGGACCATTGTCTTGTCCGGAGTGTGGTGCTGATGGTGACTCACGCTGAAATCGCAGTTGCATTATGCAGGCTGCCGCCGTGTTTGGCACTATAGGTCAGCCGATTGGGATGGGATGCGGTCTTTCTTTGCATCCTACCCTTGGGGGCGGGTTTGCTTCTCGCCGGACGATCCCAACGTTGTTGCGGATTCTGTCGCTGATGTGGTAGTTCAGGGTATGGAACTTTTTATTCCTTTGTGGTGCCCATCGGAGGCAAATCTCAGCCATGGTTTGGTCGCTATAAGTAGGAGTGTTACTAAGCCTGAGCTGACGTATCAACGTCCCGGGATGTAAACACCAGCGCTCTAAAAAAGAAGTATAATTCCGCCTCTAGGTTCTTCAAAAGAGTAATTGCCAAGTGCATTCTGGTCTCTCGCCAAGGCTGTCCAGGGGAATTTCTGTCAGCCATCTCTTCCATCTCTGCACAGGGAGGACGACTCTCTGGCCCATACCGCAAAGGAGAAAGCCGATCTGCTAGGCTCTTTCTTTGCGTCCAACTCGACTCTCGATGACGGGGGGAGTACGCCGCCGACCATCCCGTGGTGTGAGTGCTCCATGCCGGAAGTGCATTTCACACAGCGCTCGGTTCGCAAAGCACTCCTCTCTCTGGACATCCACAAGTCGAGTGAGCCTGACGGAATTCCCCCAATTGTGCTGAGGACGTGTGCTCCAGAGTTGGCACCGGTTTTAACGCGTCTTTTCCGGTACTCCTACTCCATAGGCGTAGTTCCAATATCATGGAAGACGGCTTTTGTCCACCCGATCCCTAAAAAAGGTGACCGCTCAGACCCGTCCACCTAGTGGCCTATCGCCATCACCTCCTTGATCTCCAAAACAATGGAGTCCGTTGTAAACTGCCAGCTCATGAGGTACCTTAAGGATCACCAGCTGATTAGTGTTTGTCAATACGGTTTTCGCCGTGTCGATCAGCTGGTTATCTTCTGGTCTACCTAACTCATAGATGGGCGCAGGCAGTAGAGTCCAGGGGGGAGGCATTGGGCGTTAGTTAGGACATAGCGAAGGCTTTCGATCGGGTTTGGCACAAAGCGCTTCTTTCGAAGCTCCCTTCCTATGGGCTTCCCGAGAAATCGTACGATTGGATCACCAGCTTTCTTGCAGATCGGAGCATCAAGGTCGTTGTAGACGGTGCAAGCTCCGACTACAAGCCTATTAATGCTGGTGTTCCACAAGGCTGCGTGCTATCGCCAACGCTGTTCCTTTTGCATATCAATGATATGTTGCAAACCCGTAACATTCATTGCTATGCAGATGACAGTACTGGTGATGCTCTTTACACCGGTCGTGCCAATATTTCTCGGGAAAACGTCTCCGAGTACCGGGACAAACTTGTGTCTGAAGTCGAGTCTTTGCTGAACAGAGTCTCGGATTGGGGGCGAGTAAATCTAGTCCAGTTTAACCCCCAGAAGACACAAGTTTGCGCGTTAACCACTTAAAAGAACCCCTTTGTCGTATCTCCTCAGTTTCAAGGCACTCCCCTTGTTGACTCAGCCAGTATCGGAATCCTCGGCGTCGACATATCGAGTGACGTGCAGTTTTGTGGTCACTTGGAAGAGAAGGCCAAATTGGCCTCTAAAAAAGCTCGGCGTGGTCAGCAGAGCGGGACAGTATTTCATGCCGGCACACCGCCTGCAACTTTACAAGGCGCAGGTTCGGCCGCACATGGAATACTGTTCCCATCTCTGGGCTGGGGCTCCCTAGTACCAGCTCCTTCCACTTGACCGCATCCAGCGCAGAGCGGCTCGAATCGTCGACGACCGAGTGCTTTCCGATCGGCTCGATTCACTGGCGCTGCGAAGAGATGTTGCATCTCTTTGCATTTTCTTTTGAATATACCATGGAGAGTATCCTGAGGAATTGTTTGGATTAATCCCAGCCGCCAAATTTCGTGAACGCACTACGCGGCAAACGTCCCGATACCATCCACACCATCTGGATGCTTGGCGGTCCACCACTGTACTTTTCAAAAGGAGCTTTCTTCCGCGTACAACCTCTCTGTGGAATAATTTACCACCGGCGATTTTTCCGGACCGATACGACCTGGGGACCTTCAAGAAAAGAGCTTACTCCTTTCTAAAGGGCCGGCAACGCACCTGCAATTCCCCTGGTGTTGCGTTTATCATGGACGGCGGTAGTCACTTAACATCAGGTGAGCCGCATGCTCGTTTGACCCCTCTTCTATAAAAAAAAGCATTCAACGAATTTTTTAACGTGATACAGTCAAGTTGCAACTGTATTTTGTCTGCAACACGAATAGGTCGGATCGATTTCGTACGTTTTGTACGTAAGTGTAGAAAGTCGAAGGGATTTTTATAGGTAATATCGCTTAGTAACCAGGTAATAGCGCATCTGCATTTGACTATTAACGAATAATGTTAGTGCTGATGAGTCACAGAATCCATTTACCGTTAAGTGAAATGTTTGCTGGTTTGTCATCCTATTGTTACATGTAATTGGGTCACTGGTTCTTGTCATTCATTGATATCCTGTAGATTCGACCTTGACGATAACTTCCGATGTTACCAGAAACGGTCACCTAAACAGGACATATTATAGTGGCACATTTTGTAATGTTGTATTTTTTTTTCAGATCAAAAACCATTTCAATGTCAATATTGTGAACAACGTTACGCGAAGAGATATGAATTTAAAATGCATTTTCAAAATGTTAAAACATGTATAGAAAAGCGTAATAAGTTGGTATTAGAAGGAAAGGTAACTGCCAATAGTGTGTCGGTATATTACGCGAGCGTAGTAGGTACAGGTATATTATTAGATGATTTGCTAAATGAATCAAATGTACAAACTTAAGGCGCTACCTGCAGAGAACGACCTTGAGCGTTTGCTCTGTCGACGCTCGCTACAATATATCGCGTAAGAAATCGCCAAAAGACGCCACCTACTGCTACGAACGTAGTATTATTTTTTCAATGTCAATGAACTCTTCTACGGAAATAGACACGGCGTACAATGATAAATGTATTTTAATTTTCTTTATTCGGTATATTAGTTGCATTATATTAGAATTATGTATTCTAATATATTATCTAATTAATAAAAATGACTATTTTGATTATTTTTAACTATATACTATACTGCTAATATTGAATTAGCTTTTTATAGTGTAAATTATAATATTTGTCGAAATATTCTAATGGTGCTTCATTTTTGTTATTTTCATTTACTTACATATTGAAAATATACTTGAATAGTAGTTATTATTATTTTATTTAGTTACTGAATTTTAGGATATGTTTTACCTTGAGGTCAAATATAATTTTGAGGAGCAATAGTTATTACCTACTAATCTTTTATCTGCTATTCCTTATTTAGGAGCAATATTAGTAAATTGAGTTTGAGGGAGATTTACTGTTTATAATGCTACATTTATTATTTTAATATTTACCTACTGGGTAGGTAATTATTAAAATAATAAATATAGCATTAGTAACTAAATAGATATTTTTTTTAAATTTTTAAAATTAAAATTTTCGTATTTTTAAAAAATAAAAAAAGGGTTTGAAATAATAAATTTTCTCACAAAAGAAGGGAACTTGAAAAAAAAGGAAAAAAAAAGCGGGACCAAAGCCAAGACGCGAACCACGGAACTCCGATATCACGCCCGACCGACATACCACCTGAGCTATAACGACCGTTAATGATTAGTCGAAATTTACCTTCTTATATTGTAGCAGTTTTTTTATTGCCTGAAAACATGGGCAAAAGGACATTTTCTAAAAATAAATCCAAGCGTTCGTCGCTAAAATCGTTGGAGCCGTATAATTTTCTCATCTGGTTCGGTTATATAAATATTTAAATATATAAAAATTATAAATTAAAATGAAAAGATAAATATACATTAATATCAATAAAATAAAATAAATACAAAATAATATTATATTATTATGTTATTATTATTATTATAAGTTGTGGTTCGGTGAAGCTGCAACCTAATGGACCATGATATGAAAAGTGGTGGTGGTATTATTCTTATTATTTTTTCATTACTACCTTTTTCAACCTCACAAGATATTTGTAACTGCAAAAAAAAACTACGTATAAGTAAGTAAATCAGTAATATAGTGTTTATGTATGATTCAGACTAAATAAAGGTTCCTAAAAATAGACGTAGATAAATAAATTGCATAAAAAATTACTCAAATAAAAATGCAATAAACTTGTTAATTTTATAGGTACTTAGTAAAATATTAAAATAATAAGTTTTTTAGGATATTTATGTAAAATATAAAGGTTATATTATGTTCTAACTACGTTCACGCTTGCGCATATAAAACTGCGGAATTTCACTAGTTTTATTATCAAAATAATAATTGTCAACCCTACCCTAAGTTTGCCTTGATTTTACCAACTCAAACTCGTTTTAGGAGATCAAAACATAGAGAGAAAGATAGGAGACTATTTTTTATTTAATATGGTTGGATCTTTATTTATTTGTATATTTTTTGTATTTATTTTATTTTATTGATATTTATGTATATTTATCTTTTCATTTTAATTTATATTTATAAAAACCAACCAGATGAGAAAACTATACAGATACCCCAACAATAATAATATAATAATAATAATATTCCACAAATATCACACAACGCCATCTAGTCCCAAGCTAAGCAGAGCTTGTGTTATGGGTACTAGACAACTGATAAACATACTTATATATTTCTAAATACATAAATATTATAGATAAATCATCACACAAACATTTGTCCTGGGTGGGAATCGAACCCACGACCTACGGCATAGCAGTCAGGGTCACTAACCACTAGACCAACAGGCCTGACGATAAATAAAATAAAGTCTCTAGCTCGAGAGGAGAGGAGCCGTGGTAGCTCAGATGGTTAGCGCTTGCTAAAATTTTCACAGTGTGCGAGCAAACCGGGTTCGATCCCCGCCGGCACCAATAATATTGTAATTGCAATTTTAAGTGTTGATTTACCACGTGCTCAGTGGTGAAGGAAAACATTGTGAGGAAACCTGCATGTCTGAGAAATAAGAAAAATAATATTTCGAAGACATGCAAAGTTCGCCAACACGCAGTGGGGCAGCGCGGTGGATAATTCCTTTCCTAGGACCCTTTCAGAAAATAGAATAGAAATAAAAAAATAATAAATCCAAACTTCATTTAAAACCAAACATATAAATTGTAAAATAGCTGCAGGTATCTATAACCAAGTAAAGGATATTCCTTTACTCCAACTTGTCCATGTTTCCCAAAACAATTTTTAATTAAGCTTTATATTATAATGCGGATTTTTTATATTTAAAATTTTAATAATAAAGCATTTCGTACGTCTCAGCCGAGGCGCAAATATTTTTCGGCCGCAAATTTATAAGACCGATTTGTTATTCAAACATAAACATGGTTTTTTAATTAAATCTACCAATCATAAAACGACACGCATTTTTATTGAACACTTCCTATTCAATTCACAAAGTACCTATTATATTTGTTTATATAAAAAAGTATATTTAAGTACAATCATAAAACTAAATGGAAACACAAAGTAGGAAAATGCATTGAGTTATAAAACACATAAATCAATGGGCAAATGTAAAAATACTGGAGGCAGCAGCCCTATCGCATGTTTACGTACCGCACGGCTGTAATATTTATTTCTAAGATACGGCCGAGTTACAATATACCGTGACGTAAGCGCATCGGTTGGTAGGTACTCAAATAATATTATGTTTGCGGCGAAATACGGACGCGCGGCAACCAGCGACGCGGCCACCTCGTATGAACGCATACAGCGTAATGCCGCCCGCACTCTGCGCACGCCCCTTTATCATAGAAGTCACACAATTTTCGGAATTATTTCAATTAAAAGAGAAAAAACGAACTTAAAAATTTAAATAAAACGTGGAGAATATAGATTTTTTCATTATCTATCCATTAGTGTTATCCTCAAATGATTAGAGCGTTGCGTTTAGCAACAGATGCATGTAATCAAGAATTTTAGTCATTTTTTAAAAGTTGATTTTAAATGTATTTATAGCACATAAAAAATAAATTAGAACGTGGAATGCGATGATAAGATATCGAACATTAATAATGTACTTTTAGATGTAGTTTATTTTTCATAACTAATGAGATAATAGAGTCTGAAAAACGCACTTTTGCCAGGTTTTGGTCAGGGTAGCGTCTTAAATATGATACAAAGTCAGAAAACGACATCGTGTCGAAAAACTACGTACACCTTTTTTATATAATGGCGACACCATTATATATGATAATTTATATTTTTTTGATAAATTTTTTTTTGTTTCAACCCAATACTGAGTTTCATTATTTCAAGAAGATTCAGTCTAGGATTTATTTCGCGTAGAGGTTAAATTGCTTGTGACATGACATTTATAACATATTGTTAAGGCAGGGCGTTCCTGTTTTTGTCCGTTTTAAAATTGGTTTTTGATAGGCAAATTATTACAATTAGAATCTGAAAAAAAATTATTTTAGATACATTCTTTCTCCTTACGATCTGCCTGGTCAATACACGATACAATGCAATTTTCTCGATAGAAAAAAATTACGTTCGATTTGCAGTTTTTTTATAAGTTTATTTCATTTTAAACAAGTAAGAAAGAAAGAAATGCATTTTATTCAAGTCTAAGCATGCAGCATAACAAGTAAAAAGTAGATATAAGCCAAAAGATAAATACAACTAAATTAAAAGCAATTCAACATTATTACAAATTTAAGAAAATATTTTAAAAATACCCAGTGCTGCAGCATGAAACCTTGAAACGGACCGGACTCAGTGATAGCACTGGTTTTCAGTCCAGCCCTTACCCAGAGGCAGCTCTGCCGGCTAACCTACGAATACTCCTTTTTTTCTATAAATAATATCATCATTAGAGCCCTTCACAAGTCCACTGCTGAACATAGGCCTGAATAATATCAATTTATATGTAATTCATTTTGGAATCGATTCTACCCGAACGTTTTTATAAATTACATTTATTAAAAAAATTATCGATTATTCAAGTTATTTTCGATCCGCGCGTTGCTGGTCATTGTGCCGCGGGACGTTGCTGAAATAAGACTAGTGCCAATTTTTTGGATAATATTTAGGAAATAAAATAAATTGTAAATAACTATAGTTTTATGGAACTTATATAGACTATAGTTAAGATTTTGTTGTGTGTGTTATTTCTCACTGTGTAAATATGTGTTTATAACTTGAAAACAACATTTTTGCAATTATTTTGTAAAAGTCGCGATCATATGCGCGGCCCGATTCGATCTCTGCGACAACCGCCTGTAAAAACCTATTGTGCTTTGAACACGCGGCCTTAAATTAATACCTAAAGTAGGTTATAAAACATAGTAGAGCCATGCTGCAGTTATATTAGTAGTACAGTTGTAGCACGACTGGAGAAGGACCACGCTCTCACAGAATACCAGCGTGAAATAGTAGCATAATTCTGCTGTGTTTCGTATGGTGAGAGTAGAGAACCGGAGACCCTTTTTACTGGAAACTTCTCCTCACGGGTGACAACCCATCTGCGTTTTGATTTGCAATGGAGGATAGATGTCCCCTTCCCTTCGGAGCGCCGTAAAGTGCAGTTGTGTGATAAAAGTACTTCCCATTTTTAAATCATTTTTATATGAAATTTATTCAAATTAAATAGTGCGCTAAAAATAGGACTGCATAAACAACAAGTAATATACCTCCGCGTGAGTACATCTTTTGCAAAAGTCTTACATACTAGTACTCAATCACTGCGCGCGAGCAGCAACCACCATCTTCTAGGCGAGTCTCCACCCCCCACCCACCGTATGTTATGTT